GCCAACCTTAACAACTCTAAAATTTTCTATTTTGGAGCTCCCAAAGGATTTCCTGAAGCCTCCTGGCTTGGGATGTGCCACCATGAGCTGCCACTGCCATCCTGGGCTGTGACTTACCGAGGTGACAGATCCAGTGTCACCAGGCTGGTTGTGAGATCCAGTGTCACCACAGCTCTGTGACAGGTCCAGTGTCACCACTGCCCTGTGTGACAGATCCACTGTCACCACTGCCCTGTGTGACAGGTCCAGTGTCACCCTGCTGTGTGACAGATCCAGTGTCACCCCTGCTGTGTGTGACAGGTCCAGTGTCACCACTGCCCTGTGTGACAGATCCACTGTCACCCTGCTGTGTGTGACAGGTCCAGTGTCACCACAGCTCTGTGACAGGTCCAGTGTCACCACTGCCCTGTGTGACAGGTCCAGTGTCACCCTGCTCTGTGTGACAGATCAGTGTCACCCTGCTCTGTGTGACAGGTCCAGTGTCACCCTGCTGTGTGACAGATCAGTGTCACCCTGCTCTGTGACAGATCAGTGTCACCCTGCTGTGTGTGACAGATCAGTGTCACCCCTGGTGTGTGTGACAGGTCCAGTGTCACCACTGCCCTGTGTGACAGGTCCAGTGTCACCCTGCTCTGTGTGACAGATCAGTGTCACCCTGCTCTGTGTGACAGATCAGTGCCACCACTGCTGTGTGTGACAGATCAATACCACCCTGCTCTGTGTGTGACAGATCCAGTGTCACCCCTGCTGTGTGTGACAGATCAGTGTCACCCTGCTCTGTGTGACAGGTCCAGTGTCACCACTGCTGTGTGTGACAGGTCCAGTGTCACCCTGCTGTGTGTGACAGATCCAGTGTCACCCTGCTCTGTGTGTGACAGATCCAGTGTCACCCTGCTGTGTGTGACAGGTCCAGTGTCACCCTGCTGTGTGTGACAGATCAGTGTCACCCTGCTGTGTGTGACAGGTCCAGTGTCACCCTGCTCTGTGTGTGACAGGTCCAGTGTCACCCTGCTGTGTGTGACAGATCAATGTCACCCTGCTCTGTGTGTGACAGATCAGTGTCACCCTGCCCTGTGTGACAGATCAGTGTCACCCTGCTCTGTGTGACAGATCAGTGTCACCCTGCTGTGTGTGACAGGTCCAGTGTCACCCTGCTGTGCGTGACAGGTCCAGTGTCACCCTGCCGTGTGTGACAGGTCCAGTGTCACCCTGCTGTGCGTGACAGGTCCAGTGTCACCCTGCTGTGTGTGACAGGGCCAGTGTCACCCTGCTCTGTGTGTGACAGGGCCAGTGTCACCCCTGCTGTGCGTGACAGGTCCAGTGTCACCCTGCTGTGTGTGACAGATCAGTGTCACCCTGCTCTGTGTGACAGATCCAGTGTCACCCTGCCCTGTGTGACAGATCAGTGTCACCCTGCCCTGTGTGACAGATCCAGTGTCACCCCTGCCCTGTGTGACAGGTCCAGTGTCACCCTGCTGTGTGTGACAGGGCCAGTGTCACCCTGCTGTGTGTGACAGATCCACTGTCACCACTGCCCTGTGTGACAGGTCCAGTGTCACCCTGCTGTGTGTGACAGATCCAGTGTCACCCTGATGTGTGACAGATCAGTGTCACCCTGCTCTGTGTGACAGATCAGTGTCACCCTGCCCTGTGTGACAGATCCAGTGTCACCCTGCTGTGTGTGACAGATCAGTGTCACCCTGCTCTGTGACAGATCAGTGTCACCCTGCTCTGTGACAGATCCACTGTCACCCTGCCCTGTGTGACAGATCCAGTGTCACCCTGCCCTGTGTGACAGATCAGTGTCACCCTGCTCTGTGTGACAGATCCAGTGCCACCACTGCCACAAACCAAACCCAGCAGCTCCTCCTGGGAGAGATCGGATCGGATCAGATCGGATCGGATCAGATCCGATCAGATCAATCTCCTCCCTGAGGAAGCTGCATTATTTGATCACCAACAGTTCAGCAGCTATGTTTTTCCAGGCTCAAGTTAAGCACTATTTTAAACAGCTCTCAGCATGAAAAGATTCCAGTTTGGTGGCAACTCAGCTCCAAGTTTTTATATTTAATTTCCTCACCCAGTAAGAGGCCGCCCTTGATTTCCTTTCCCTGCTGTCTCACCAAAATATCCTGAAAATTCTCCATTCAGGCACCCTGATTGCATCCCCCACTCTGCATCAAAGGCAGAAAATTACCAGCCACTCCAAATAAAGCAGCAGCTGCTCGGGTTTAACTCCTCAGTGCCACGGCTGGTGCATCCCAGGAGTACAGGCGAGTGTTTATTCCTGCAGGAATCCCTCCACATCTCCAGGGACAGGACAAGTTCTGAGATCAGGGGAGAAAGGAGGAGGAGTCAGACTTGAAAAACAAAAATCCAGGTTGTAGGTGAGACCTGAGACCCGTAAAAAATCCACGGGAGCTCTCCAGGGATCAAACAAACCTCAGCCAGAGGGAACAGCATCAACAGCCTGGGGATTCCAGGTTTAGGCATTGTGGTTTTAGAAAGAAATTCGGTTTTTTATACACCAGGCCACTCAATTTACATCGATTTTCTTCAGGCAGAGGGAAAACCAGTACCAGGTTAATTACAATTAGAACAAGAAGCTGGGTAAGACCTGCCCCAAAATCAGAATTAGGAATTGTCTGGTACAAAACCAAAGGGTTCATTAGAAGAGATTTCCTTTTCTCCATGGGCAAAGGGCTGTGACTGTGAGCCTTCAAAGTGCAGGTTTGAGGTGCAGAGTGATAAAAAAGAAGGGGAAAGATCAGGAAAAACAGGAATTGTGTCCAAAATGACACCAGGCATGAAGGCAGTGCCACCCAAAAAGCAGCAGAGCCTGCTCAGGAAAAACAGACAAATTATTAAATGTGGTAATATTTAATAATTGGCTTTTAAAACCCAGGGTAAAGTCTGGTGGAGCAGTTGCTCAGTTTGGGTTTGGATAAAGCAGCCCAGGACTGTCCCTGGATCCCAGCACAGCTGGAACAGCAGCTGGAACAGGGACAAAGCACAGGAGCCCCTCGGGTCCCTCCCCAGCCCTTTTGTCACACACAGGCAGAAAACACCGAGGATTTTCTCCCATTTACTTCCAGAGGAAAGGAACACAGAGCTTCAAGTCATTGTACATCATTCCATGGGGGAAGTGTGAGTGCAGCCTCCCCCTGCCCCGGCAGGAGCCTGCGCAGCCGAGAGGTGACAGGGGGGACACAGCCCTGGGGACACCCCCAGTGCCACCCCAGCCCTGGGGACACCCCCAGTGCCACCCCCGGGGACACCCCCAGTGCCACCCCCAGCCCTGGGGACACCCCCAGTGCCACCCCCGGCCTGGGGACACCCCCAGTGCCACCCCAGCCCTGGGGACACCCCCAGTGCCACCCCAGCCCTGGGGATGCCCCCAGTGCCACCCCCAGCCCTGGGGACACCCCCAGTGCCACCCCAGCCCTGGGGACACCCCCAGTGCCACCCCCAGGGACACCCCCGGCATGGGGACGCCCCCAGTGCCACCCCCAGCCCTGGGGACACCCCCAGTGCCACCCCCGGCCTGGGGACGCCCCCAGTGCCACCCCCGGCCCTGGGGACACCCCCAGTGCCACCCCAGCCCTGGGGACACCCCCAGTGCCACCCCCGGCCCCAGGCTGGGACTGAGCGGGCGAGAAATGATCACCAGGAGGGGAAATTCCAGCCCTCATTCCCATTATCCCAAGCTGAGGAATGGGGTTTGGAGAGGCAGCGTGGAAGTGCTGGAACACATTCCCAGTGCTGTGGGAACACATTCATAGTGGAACTGAAATAAATTCCCAGAGCAGTGGGAACACATTCCCAGTGGTACTGGAATAAATTCCCAGTGGTGCTGGAACACATTCCCAGTGCAGTGGGAACACATTCATAGTGGAACTGAAATAAATTCCCAGTGCAGTGGGAACACATTCCCAGTGGTGCTGGAACACATTCCCAGTGCAGTGGGAACACATTCATAGTGGAACTGAAATAAATTCCAAGTGCAGTGGGAACACATTCTCAGTGGTACTGGAATAAATTCCCAGTGGTGCTGGAACACATTCCCAGTGCAGTGGGAACACATTCCCAGTGGAACTGGAACACATTCCCAGTGGAACTGGAAGACATTCCCAGTGGAACTGGAACACATTCCCAGTCAGGGAGCGGGGCACAGGGCTGGTGATCCATCCACAGGCAGCCAGGCACTCCCCTGCCAGGCTCAGGAATCCCAGGAAAGGGCACATTCCCCCCCTGGAGCTCCGTTTCTCAGGGATTTGGGCTTCCCACGCTTCCATGTGCACGCGAGGGGTAAAAAGTGACCTGCAAAAGAGGAGGGCTCGGCCCGGGGGGGGAGAGGCAGCCCTGCAGCAGCTGCAGCTGCGGTGCTCAGGGTTTTGTGCATCAAAAACATCCACAGGGGCTGGTCTGGGGCTCTCTGCGAACACACATCCCGCGGGAGCGCAGTGCCAGGCAAAGCCGAGGCTGCTCCGTGGAGCTGTGCTCTCCCAAGGGATCCCTTTACTTCCCACCCCAAATCCCTCCCTGGCAGCTCCCAAGGAGTTTTTCTCGCAGGGATGACACAAAAATAGCCACCAGCTCCAATTTCAAGTGCCAGCAGAACAGCCTTGGCCACAAGAGCCTGGAACTCCTCGGGGGGAATCTTTTGCAGGTCTCCCTTTTAAGGCCTTAATGTCATTGCAGAGAGAGGGATTCTTTTGTGCTTGCCATTGCTGCCCTCTCTGAGCAGCACCAAAACCTCCTCAAACTGAGCAGTTCCAGTGCCTGGCTGCCAGTGCAGGATCCAGAGGGAGGGACACAACAAGCACCAGGTGTTTTAAGCTGCTGCAGGTACAACAAGGGCAGGACTGATGTGCCAAGTGCTCTAAACAACCACACACACAGCCAAATGTTGAGCCACTGCAACGCTGCTGCTACCCAGATTCTCAACATCAGCCACAGCAAAAGAAGAGAAATCAAAATCAAACCCAAAACCGAGCACTGGTATGGACACAGAAGAGTTCATCGTGGCTGGAGTCGTGTTCCCAGGAGGGAAGACTGGATGTGGCAGGGACTTGGGGCCACGAGGCAGGTCGAGAGCAGATGTTGGCACAGAGATGACAAACACCAGCTGGGGCCAGGTCCAGAGTGGATTGTCATGGCAGGAGCTCCTGCTGCTGAGCAAAGACAGATCCAGGAGGACAGGGGGTGTCCCCCTCTCCTTGGAAGTTCTGGTCATCAGTTAAGGAACATTGAGACACTTCCCAAACTGCAGCAACAGGATTCTGTTGGCTCTTCAGAGGCTCAGTCCCAGAGCTGTTTTGGGTTCAGAAGAAGCAGAGGGAGTCTTTTGTGCCAGATCTGTGAAGGGAATTGCAACAGGGAAGAGATCAGAACTCATCAAACACATCCACAACCACCCAATGCAGTTCCAGAGTGCCCTGGTGCTTCCCTGATCAGCTCCATGCTCCACCCCCCTGGAATCACATGCTCTGGAAATTGAGGTTATAACCTGCTCAAACAGAAGGAAAACTACATGGCCAATTCTGTGGAATTGTTCATGAACAGATTCCCAAAAGGAAAACTGAAACTGTCCAGGACAGGTGTAGGGAAAGCTCAGCTCAAGCCCATAAACTCTGGCCATTCACCATTACTAAATCATAGAATATCCTGAGTTGGAAGGGACCCAAAAGGATCATTAATAAATCGAAAGATATGATTTATTTATTTCCCTATCAGTAAATAAAGCCCAGTTGAAGCAGGCCTGTCCCACATAAAGAGCATTCCAGGGAAGATGCTGACTGCTGGACAAATCCTGATCAAGAAATTCTTTTATCCTTTCCAACACTGCAGGGCTTTGTACAACTTTATTACATTTAAAAATGCAATTAGTCCAAGCAGCAGCTCCCTCACAGAGC